TGACTCCTGCACCCCCTCATACACTCCCAGCCCTGACTCCTGCACCTCCCCACCCTCACCTGCACCCATCGCACCAAACAGGAGCCTGCCCCCAGGTAAGTGCTCCACACCCTAACCCCCCTGTCCCAGGCCTGAGCCCCCTCCCGCACCCTAACTCCTGGCCAGACCCTGCACCCCAACGCCCAGCCTGCTCCTGCACTCTAACTTCCTCCCAGACCCTGTAGCCCCAGCCCGGAGCCCCCTCCTGCATCATAACTTCTGGCCAGACCCCGCACCCCAACGCGTTTTTACATTTTTTTTTATAAAGCGCTCTTATCCAAAGTGTTTTACAATAGTTACTTAATGGTACAAACAATATTTGGAAAGATCATTAAGGGGTCCGCTAAGATCCTCAGCGATTTTTCAAGTGGTCTGTGGAAAAATAGGTTACACTACAAAAACAATCAAGGTACCTCACTTTATTTTCATTTACTTCCTATTACCTATAGGAGGAGGATGAAGAAAAAAAGGATGAAAAACAGGGATGGGTGGGAGGGAGATAAGAGAGACTGTTTCTTGGCTGGGTCCTGTGGGGGGGGCCCCCAAAATGAAGCTGAGCACAGGGCCCCACTAATTCTAAATCCGCCACTGATTAAGGATAGAAGGATTGGGCTCTAATTTACTTTGCTTTTATAAATTAGAGCCAGATTTTGCTTCTCTTACTCACTCTACAAAACAGGCTCTTGAAATCAGTGAGACGGTTTGCAGAGACAAGTGCTACTCAGTGTGAGTATAGGTGGCAGAACCTGGGCTGGAATGAGACCTGGTTTTAAGAAAGACTGAATTGTAATGATTACAAATGTTGGTATTTACAATTCAGGCAAATCTTCCTTTAGAAACTGGCATGACTCAGCTAGTTCACTAATGAGCGCTTTCCATTTATTGGATCTATAGCCTTGTCTTCACTTGAACAGCTAACAAGCTCTCAATTGAAAAATCATGTTTCCAGTAACTCTCAGATAGATCCCAGCTGGTTTGCTTTAGTCAAGAAGCTATGCAGAGACCTCACAGCAGCTAGAGCTAGCCAGTACACACAGAAGTTGGGGTCAAGACCAAGAAGGAAAAACAGATAAAGCTAGCACATTTTAATCTTTATTTTCATTTCAAAGTGACTTCAACAATGCAGTACAATCAAAGTCCACTTGAAATGAAAATGAAGATTAAGATGCACATATTTTGCATTGGAGAATTAGAAGCCCTATTTCAAACCCAGTCCCTTAGCTTAAATATATCCTCTTTCTTTTCACTATAAATTAAGGTAGTTTCTTGCATGTATCTGAATTCCTTATTGGCATGGAGTGTTTTATTTGCTTACAGAGGGAGGAGGTTGTGTATCATTTATTGATGCTATTCCCCAAAGAGCTGTTAGCAGTCTGTGTACAGCTAGGCTTCAACTTACTGAACTTTAAGGCTTTCAGATCTCTATTAACTGCAGACATTTCAATCTTATTTGCATGAGAGAAATGTGCAGATACTCTGTTCTGTTCTCAGTTTATTCTTCCTCAGAGATGACTTTGATGCCAGCTAATTACTGTAGCTTTGAACCATTTAGATAGAAGTGGTTTTGATTTCCTGTAATCCTTCCTGTATTATGTGTGTGCAAAACAACACCATCAGTTGTGTAGTAAACCTTAACTACTAACTGAGGTAATTTGTTGGATTTCATGCAACTTATTTTTCTTCTAGAATTTCAGTACTTTTTCTTTTTACAAAAACTACTCTTGAATATCTTTATTTTTAATGTAAGTGTCAGGAAAGCACCGAGAGTCCTCACTTTGTAGACTAGATCTACAAAGGTTTCTTGGCTATTGTCTGGAGGGAAAAAAAAGAAAACCTTTATAAAGGGCACTGAGAATATTTTTCCTTCAGCATCATGTTAGAGCAGCTTGAATCCAAGAGAACTACATTGGAAGAGTTGTGCTCATGGATTTTTCATTTTTTTGGGAACAGTTTGAGCTCCTTCAGTCAAAGATATAGTTTAAAAGAGCCTGGTCCTGAAATGTGTGGGGTACCTCCATTAAAGTCAATTATTATTATTTTATTTGTATTACAGTAACATGTAGGGGGCCCAATGTGCTAGGCATTGTTTAAACCCCTAGTAAGAGAGAGTCCATGCCCCACAGAGCTGATAGTCTTATAGATAAGACAGACAAGAAGTGTGAGAAAGGGACACACACAAGCAGAAGATTGTAAACTGAGACACGGAGAGGTTAAGTGACTTGCCCAAGGTCACAGAGGAAAAGTGTGTCAGAGTAGGGAATGGAACACAGGTTTCCTGGAATCCTTGTCCAGTGCCAAGATCATTCTTGGACCTCAACAGGCAAGTTGCTGGGGTAGAATTTCCTCCTTGCAGGTACTATGTTGGCCCACGATAGGTGTCCCTATACTGGCCCTTCCCCAGACAAACCTTTGTGCCATGGGCAGTAGACGTTGGGGCCTTAGTGTATATTCCTACGGCCATTCTGGCTTGTACCGCAAATGATAGGAACCTCAAGGTATGCTGCCCTAATTTAAAGCAGCCTCCAGGGCTGTTCTAAATTATGCTGGTTGTCATTTTAGCTCCAGAACCGGACAGACACAAAATAAGCTTAAAACCATCTTTCTCTTCCCCTTGCCCAGTGCTTCTGGAGACATAGAACAGAATCCCAGTGTATGTGTTGGAATGGTAGCCACATCTGCTCCACACTTCCTAAAGCAGGAGTTCCAATCACCGGATCCTGGTCCGCACAAGTGCTGTAAATCCTAATCCAAAATATCTAGAGCTGGAATTGGTTCCAGAATTCTATATGATTAACATGATATTTTAATTTACCATATTAAGATAAAAGTGGTAGAAAGCCACGTGACTTTCCCTCAATCATTTCTTCTTGACCACAAAAATAAAAACCCTAAGAAAAGTGGTGAAGACAAGGGGTGTGTGTACTGTGTAGCAATGAGGATGTTAAATGTGTCTTTGCCATTACAATATACTACTTAGAATAAGAAATGCTATGGTTGTAGCATTATTCCTTACATATCTGAGTGTCATCCTCCTTGGGATTCATTTCAATGTACTGAAAACATTCTTGCTTCCTTCCTCTTAGATATTCACCACGCTGTCAGTGACTAAGCGTTCTGGTGGAAATATCCTTCAGTCTGGCTGCTGAGGTTAATCACCCCCATTGTTGTTGCGTTTGCCAGAGACTGACTTTCATCACCACGGCTGACTTGTGCAAGGCAGAAGAAAACATCTCCAAACAAGCTGTCCTCATCATCCTCGGCAGCAGTGGGCACCCCCTTGACCAAAGCATTCACTTAACTGAATGGGAAAAGCACATTGGGATTTGTTAGTCACTCGTGATGATTGGATGGCAATCGACAAAACAGTGGGAGTATTTAACATCAAGCTGCTGCATGGCAAGGCATCTACAGGATGCTTCCATGATGTCGCAGCCTAAACCCAGTATTTTCTGGTAGGCAGCGATGGAAGAACTGCTGGCACAGTTTGAGAATAACCCTTTTCTCCTAAATGAAGAGCTTCCTAACTTAAATGTGTAACCACAAGTATTGATAGTTCTATGGTATCGCCATGTACTGCATTATAAAACAGTATGATGGTGACTCTTCCTCAGTGAGCCTGCATATCATCAGATCACAGTAATGCAGCAGGTAAAGTATGAGTATAGAGGGGTGATCTTATCTCATGTTTCATTCTGAGTCGCAAAATAGCCTGTCACGTACTTTTAGCCATAATTAGCAATATCCAGAATAGCAAGTCTTTTTTGGCTTCCAAAAATCCTAAAACCAAAATTAATCCCTCATAGTTTCTTATTCTAGAGATGAATACTTGTTACCACGGTTGCCCCTTGTACTAGCCTCTGAGAAAGGAAAATGTTTATCTTGGATAGGGCTTGTCTACATGGGAAAGCTTTTTTTGTGCGTGGTGGGGGGGAGATCTTTAGTTTTTTGGCATAAACTGCCTTCCATCCAGACTGAAATGATCTTTTGGGGCATTATCTTGCATCTTATCCCTCTGTAATTAACCCACTTTGGAAGTGACATAATTCTGTTTTGGAATGTGTTATACCGCTGTAAGATTGGTGTGGACATATCCCCGTTTTGAAATAGCTATATCGCATCAGGTAGTCCTCTCATTGCTATCCCACACTGCATTACTTCATATCTGGATTGGCTTGTCTGGTTACGTGTGCACTCTCCACTAGAGCTGGGACCAAAACTTCCTTTTTGTCCAAAAAATGCATTTTGCTAATTCATGTTGAATTTGCTGAATTGTTTTGGTCGGGAGCAAAAAAATTCTAAAATAATCAAAACACTTTGTTTCAACATTTTCTGAATGAGATGTTTCCATTTTTTATTCAAAATTATTTTGCATTTTGAATTTTACCTCAAAATTATTTTAAAATGTTGGGGAAAAAAATCCCAGACCACATCCTCAAACAAAACGTTTAATTCAACCTAAAACAATTTCCCTCCTGACTTTACGGTTCAGCCACCAAACTAAAAAATCACTTATTTGCACAGTCCTATCCTCCACCATATCCGGTATTTAAAGTCTATGTGCTTGGTGAGGGAAAGGAGGGGTGACACGGTGGTCTAAGGGATTGCGGACCTGGGGGGAAAAAAGAAAAAGTTTTAAAAACCAAGCTAGGTTGCTGAGGGGCACACCCAAGCACCGTTTTACCAAAGCTGCTGCTCCCAGATTATGATGGACCCCCCCCCACACACACACACTTTTTTCAGACCAATTTAAGCACCAACTGCATCTTGATTGGACATCCCTATCTCTGTTTAAATAATGGCAGACACACAAGTGCACCTGTGTATCTCCAGTTCGAGGCAAGTTCGCAGACCCTGAGTCCATTGCAACCTCATGTGGTTGCATCAGGAAATTAAGGAATTCCTGGCCTTCCAGGGAGAAGAGTACATTCAATCTCATCTTTTCAGGAGTCACTAGAATGCCAAGTTTCAGAGTAGCAGCCGTGTTAGTCTGTATCCGCAAAAAGAACAGGAGTACTTGTGGCACCTTAGAGACTAACAAATTTATTAGAGCATAAGCTTTCGTGGACTACAGCCCACTTCTTCGGATGATTTACCAGCAGCTAGCAGAGCAAATGCAGGAGAAAGGGGTATTCCCAGGACAGGTGCCAGTGTGGCACCAAAACCAAGGAGCAGTGGTAGAATTACAAAAACAAAGATCTCGGTTAATGCTCCCAGCACATGTGCATGCTATGAGGAGCTGGACTGAAGTAACTGCTTAGTTTTAGCCTCTTGCTCTAGCAGCATCCATCTCCTCCAACATCACCTGCCTAAGCAGTTAACATATATGGAGCACCCTGTTTGTATTAATGATGGTCAGGATTGTTGTACTCAGCAGTGCTTCATCCATGCTGCCTGACAGCAGTTTGAAACTGAAACAGTTTGAAAATGGTGTTGACTAGTGGAAAACAAACCAATTATGGGTTACAGTGGAAGGAATCAAGGGAGTTTGACCCCATGTTCCAGTAGATTCCAGTAGGTATCCCACAATCCAAAACAATAAACAACCTACAGTATATTGAGCACTGTACCCTGGGACATCTGCCCAGACAGCTTGTGTGCTTATTTAAAAAAACAGTGCTGCGTGGGCATTGTGATTCACAAAGGAAATTGCTTAAGCCATTTTAGACAAAGCAGTGTGAATGCACTCTTTCAAGTTAGCTATATTTGTATAGTTGAGTAAATAAAAAGAAAAACAAACCCTGTCAATCTTTCCTGTGTAGACAACACCTAAAACTGTCCTAATTTCCATATGTGCATTGTTTATATCCGATTAAGAGAATTATATTTTTAAAACAGACTATTTAAGTGGTGCACTAGCCTTGCGCTGGGCTTCTGCACAGGGTGAATATCACCATTTTCTATTGAGAAGCTTCTAATAGTGCTGTAAATTATTTTTATAAACTCATATACTTAACTGAAAGATTTTTTTATGCTTTATACCATATAAAACAATGTTTATTTTTTTCTGGCCAGTTTATTGCAGCAAATAGAATGTTTGATGCACTCCCGAGTGAAGAAACGATAGCTTAGCAAGATATACATTTTTAAGACCAGAAAAGACCACTTTGATCATAAACCTTTGCGTCATTTATTTCAGTCTTTTGATTTTTGAGTAGTATGTTAGATATTTTCAGAAAAATGTAGGGCTTTTTCCCCAGTGCATATCAAACAAATAAGGACAAGTTTTTAAAATGTAAGGAATGAAAAATTAAGGGCCTACTTTTCACTAACATTAGGAGCATTTGTGTTCCTAATGCTCTAGATGTCACATATATAAGACTTCAGAAAATACAGTAAGTAGAGTTTCACACTAGGTAGGCCCTCGAACTCAAACATTTAAGCACACGGGGAACTACTTATATGCGTCATCTCCCTGAAGACAGACATTTAAGTATATGAATAAGTTCCATGTGTACTCAAGCATTTGCAGGACTGGACTATAGATTATAAATCCTTCTTTACTGATTAATGTGCTAAATAATGATTTTTGGTGTATATTTTCAAAGCTGCTGATTTTTATATTTTAAACAAGATAACTGAAATGTGAAAACATTAGTACTTTCTCCAGATTTTTCTCTCCAATATTATTTTTACTGTGGGTCTATGCATGGTCAAAGAGGCATATAATTTATGAAGACATCATATAAGGCTACGTTAAAGGCCAAAACAAAGTCCTTTGAATTCATATCAAATTAAATATACATTTTATTATGAAATCTTTGGAAATATATTAGAAAATGTAATAAATTAAACTATTTATATTCCACTCATGTCCTGCTCTTTATTTTATCAGTCATTAACATTTTTGGATCTCCTACATGAATACAAGCCAAATTCCTCCAAAGGTATTTCATGTCAAAAATGTAGAGAATCAGCGTTTTGTAAAGTTTCAGTGCTTAATTGGCAGGCTTTATCTAATGAGATTAAATTTTTTACTGTTTAATTCTCTTCCACTTATCTTTTCCCAGCCTGGGGTGACCTGTTAGATGATTGTACATGTCTGTGGTATTCAGAGAGATTTGCCGATGGAGATGCCTCCCTCTTTCAGATGAAAACACTACAGTTTTCTTCTGTAATCTGAAGAAATTTCTTGGGCTTAATTGTCAGATGCCCTATGACCCCTATTAACCCCCTGCGCGGACTCACACATTTTCTGGGGTTGGCGTGGAAAGCAGCTGCTGCAGGCAGAGCTACTGCTGTCTCACTCACACAGATGGAGTGGACAAGCAAGAGGGGGGAATAGACACAGTATTGGCTCCACATTCCCATGCACCAGCCAGCACAGCTGGGCTGGTGAAGAGGGAAATTAGATATAGTGCTGGTGCCGCTTACTTATCTCATAAAACAAGGAATAAGCAAGGACCCTCGGGTAGCTGAGCTACACGCTGCCCCTTACTAAGGGCTTTTGATAACTCCCAATCTAGCTCACAGTCAGGGCCGGCTCTGGCTTTTTTGCCGCCCTAGGCAAAAAAGCCCCCCGCCCCCACCCCCACCCGCCA